TTCCATTCTCTTTACCTACTAAACAACTAAGCATGATTTTCAGTCCTTCTATCTTCATGCCTACCAAGCATATAACCTTGATGCTTTTATTAACGGGAAATAAGTCTTCAAATGTTGCTGAATCCCCTTATACAATATATATAATAACACTCTGCCTTTTACTTCCCTTACCAAACTTGGTTATTCAACATGCCCTGAACAATATACAATATAATGAAATCAACCATAGTGCAGAGTTAGAACAACGTGAATATATATTCTTTACCCAAAACGAGTTTCATGTCTTCAACAATTACTAAGCCACACCATCATTTAACTCCTGGGCATGTTGTCCGGAAAGATGGCTGAATTGCTGCGTCAAGGTTTCTTAGGTTAAGGTCTACCTTTTCTGTTCAGAATGTACGCATGTTGAGCTCAAAATTTCGATTCTCTGACAGCTGTCTAGTAAATAGCCACTGAACTTTTATAATGTGCCGTGCCTGCCTGTTGAATGTTATTTAAGGACCTGCTTATAAGACTACCAGGAGCATTTCAAAGGTGGAAATGCCTTTTTTCGCCTCACAAGTAATTTCAAATTGCTTTTGTGGAGCTAGTCTTTTACCAAGAATTTTATTATTGGAAAAGGGGTGGTGGGGGGGGACACCAGCGCTTTTCCCGTGGGTCAGGAACCTGAGGCCTCATTATTTCTGCCGACCTTCCTCCAAATTGGAATGCCAAGGCACAATGTACTGTTTATGTTGCCTCCATTTCTTGGATACAAAAGGCCAAAGCCATAAGGAGGACCGATAAGGTCCAGATAGAGAAGGTTCCTACAATCTAGAAGAGGCTTCTTTAGAAGTGTAGAATCCAAGACCATGTTATGAGTTAGGACCACGTTACTTTCATCTCTGTAAACATGTTCAAGATAAACCTCCCATTATATCTTTCATCGGTAGGCATATAATATCTTGCAGCTGAAAGTTGGGAGGCTAATGTCGTGTATGTTCACGAGATCTCATAGGTGGCCTCCATAGAATCAGAGCACAATTTTCCTTCATGTATCCATAATGTCAACAACTCTGTAAGCCCTCAAGCATGGAAATGAGTTCTTCCTTGCTAATGTATGAAACCAAGTTTCTTAGCAAAGCTGCATCTCCATCTGCCTTCGCTCTCTGTTAGTGCCTCTTCTGGCACTAATATACAGTTCTTCAACAAAAGATGCACATCTCCCATGTCAAATTGATAATCTTCTCACAACTTTGGCTAATAGAAAGTTTGATAGATGGTGTGATATAAGCACAACAAATATGGTGTCCAGGATGACATCTAACATGGTGTGGCTGCCATGTCCAACTTGGATGCCACAGTAGACACCACAAAGAATGCCACATTGGACATTGCTTTGTCCCCATATCAATGTGGCAGTAATTGCAATAGCTTTTGGGAGTATGTTAAGAAAAATAACAATAAACCAAACATAACTAGGTCTGCTTACACAAGGGTAAGGGTAAACAAGACGGGTATTTCAGCTTCAAAGAGAAGTGGAAGGGGAAGTTTACAGTTGTTCACATCTAGAAATATCGCATGCAAATTTTATTCTAAGTGTAATTCTGCTTGTATTTCCTACCATATTCTACCAAATTTTATGCAAATTTTATACAGCTAAGGAAATACAATCACAAAAACGCAAGGGGGAATAAAGAAACCATATTCTAAAGAAGAATTATTGTTATATTCAAAGCTACAGTAATAAAGTGTGCTAAAGATGATGATAGCATACTATACTTATGAAGTTCAAAACACTACTTGCAACTCAATAAAAAGCATGTCAACCTATCATCATTATCATATTTAAGAGACATCATTTTCTTGCAGTTATAAGCTACTGAAAAATTAAGCCCAGTTAGAAGCGTGAAACTGTAAACAAACAAAACTTTGACTAAAATTTTCTGGCACAAAGCAAGTGCAGAGTAGCAGAACAGAACTAGTACCGGAAAATGGAGTTTAAGAACAATTATGAATGTGAAGACTGCTAATTTGCTTTGTAGGGCTAGCATTAAGCTCATCAATGGGGCAATAATGTGAATCGACAAAACATCCCAGACGTAATAACAGGCATCCTATGTTCTAATGTGTGGCTATGCTGTGAGTAAAGGAAGTCGATCCCTGAATCTAGGTCCCATGAAATGAGTCAAATGACATGAAAAATCAGCTAATTGCGAGTAGTATACAAAATCCACTATTTTCCAAGTCACATGCTGATGTATTAGAAAGTCAAGAAGTCAATAACCCAAAACCATAATAGGTAAGCGCAACTTCTATTATCTAAAAAATACGCCAGAGAATTACAAACTTGCCTTTAAAATAAATAAGCCCTGAGTTACCATAGAAAATATTTTCCTGGGATTCAATCTTTTTCTCGATGACGACCATTATAAAGGCCTGCTCCATTCTTGTCCCGTTTCCTAACAAATTAAGCTATTGAAGTTCATAGTGAAGGAAATCAAATCATCTTCTTCCCTGGTGACAAATTCTCTTCTCTGGATACTGATGAAATTAATACCCTAAATTATTACAGTCAGCAAGGTTGGTGCTCATTCTGTCTGATAGAAAATGATGCAGACCCAAAAAAAAAGAAAAAAATCACTTCTTGATTACTAGTAGAATTTTTGGGGAACTGTTTGGAGCCCATAGTGGAATAAGGCTTCGTTGTTGTTGTTGTTTGGAGAGACATTAGTATGACAAATGCAAAACGGCTATAGTTTTGTAGTTGACACTCATAATTAAAGAACCTTTCATCTATGCTTCTGCAGAGACCTTTCATTAGAGAAGCTTATGATATGGAAACTTCTCTTCCTTTGGTTCAGATCATACATAGGCTTCATAGATAACTGGCCATTTTTTGATAGAATCGAAAAAAATAGAAATATCCTTTCCATGGTAAATTGCGCTGCACCTGTCATTACAGGATCTCTAACTTCTACAGATACAAATTTTCATGATACCTTCTAATTCCAAACAATTATGTATAGCAAACTAAAATATGGGATTCCATTACATATCCAGCATGAAATCAGTGATTGAGAGATATAACACAAGCAAGGAGGAACACCAGCAGCTGATGAACCCAAATTCAGAAGCCAAGGTATGCTCAGCCAACTACATTTCATAAATGCTCGATACATTTTCTGCTGTGGTCCATAAGTAACAGCCACATGCAAAGTATATAATATTTCCATTGATCACAATTTGTATAGTTATTCCTGAATTTGCTGAATATGCGTTCGGCAGCTATTCTTATATGTCTTCATAAAAGTCACAAATATTCTGTGACACCTAGATGACAAAACTCCATAGAATTTTACTAGATCATTGGCCAACCTACCAGCACTTTTTAGACATTCCCTTCACAACTTAAGCTTTTATGAAAGCTAATTTTGTTCGTTTTCTTTACTATTCTCTGAAGCAACTTTACATCAGACGCCCACTAAAATCAGAACAATGGCTTCCCCAAGGAAACACACTTTCAACAATTTTCATCCAGTTTTTCTTTACATTTCATCACAATCATTTCAGAGTAACTTTAGGACTTAGTGGAGTGTATTGTAAGGATCCCAACAAACATGAAGAGAGGCCATCTAGTTCTTATTTGTTTTGCCTGCAAATGACACTGCATAATTTTACTTGATCCTTGATAGTTTTGGCAAAGGGAGGCAGAAGTATTAAGGCAACAACTACAGAATCTACAGGAAAGCCATCGGTACAAGCCTTTCCATCTTCTATCAAGCAAACTGTTTGATATTTTTATTGAGCAATTAAAATACATACGATCCTAGAAACTCTACATTTCAGTGTCAGACATGAAAGTATTGTCATACTACAGTAGAATGGCACAGCATTCTACTCTCAAAACCATAAAAAAGAACAAAAAAAATTCCATTATATATTATCATTCCCATCATGATGACTCCCAGTTTCAGTTGCTTTGGCAGCTCCATGAACTATGGGAGGTAATACAACTGGTTATATCAGACATTACTATTTTTTTTTTTTTTTGGGTAAAGACATAACAGTGAAATATATATTAGGGTGTGCACCAAAAATGATAAATAAAACTTCATTCGAAATCCATATAAGCCTCTCAACTAAAAAAATTAGAAAATCTAAGAGATATCTTTTCATAAGAAAATTTATTTTAAAAAATAATAAGATGAAAAGAAAGACATTCCTTCTGCAACATAGCATTCTGATTTGGACAAGCAAAAGATGGCAATGTGCGATCTTTGTTGCAGCAGGAAATTCCAGGTGGTTCGATGTTAGCTGAGTCAACAACTTGCAACTCAACTGCAGCTAATTACTACATAACATCAAAATTTTCCCCTCAAAATGCCTTCACTAAATTTAAAGTTCCCCATCCTTGTGAAGCTTCTGCTTTTTGTAATGTAAAATGATTTACAATTCCAAAGAATAACCACCCCCCGACTGCCCACTGCCAGATTCATTGATGGAATATTCAAGATCTTACATTTTTGCTTTAGGTTCATACTTCATACCAAATCTTCTCATGATGGATATTGGCATTTACAGAACACATTTACTATGCCCACATCCAGCCCTGAATTACCAGATTTCACATTTAAACCATAGCACTTCAAAATTAAGAGACTTCGGTGAAACTTAGGCAAAACCTGATAAATCCCAAGTTGACATATGCCCTTCAACCGAAAATTAAACGTCATCTAATAGAATAATATGACCATAGGCAACAAACGAAGACCTGAGTATTTGAATTGCAAATCAAAATTTACCATGCTCTAAACGGGTCAAGAAAGTATTCGTGATCATGATAACATAAAATATTGCTCCATTCAGAGACAGCATTCATTTACAATTGAGACAATTTTTAAATACCAAAATGAAAATTATGTCTCACTCCCCACAATGAAAGTTCTCATACTTTTTTCTTCATTTTCTTTATTGTTTTTTTCCATTATTTTTTGTATAAAAAAATGTATGTAAAATAGAAAAACTAACTCTCCAATCATATGAATATGAACATAAGAAGGAAATTAATACATTTACATGCCATATGCACTCAAGCACTGCCATAATGCAGCAAACAATATACTTTCGTAGCTTTAAATTTCTTTTGTTCGCAGATAGAAACCAGCAATCAAATAAACAGGATGACTGTGTGTCTGTGTGTGTGTGTGTCATAAAGTTTTTTGTATGAATTAACATTTTGAAGGTGCAGGCAAATGATGGGAGAACAGCTTTATGGTTTAAGTGTGAAAAACCTACAAGATCTCGAGAACCAGCTGGAAATGAGTCTCCGATGTATTCGCATGGCAAAGGTCAACTAACTTTTAAGATTGAAATAAACAGCATTGCTCCTTTATCTTTGGTACTGTTGATAAATGTGCTTGATCAATCTCTCCGAGGCCCAAGCAATATTTAGGGACCTGAAAGCTATTAACACGCTTAATTAAACTCTGCAGGAACAAATCCTAACAGAAGAAATCCGAGAGCTGAATCGAAAGGTCTGTTTGAGCAATAATATTCACCAAAGTTTCTTTCAAAAGCATTTGTAATAACGAACTGACTTTTTTCTTATTTTTCTTGCAGGGAAACTTTATACATCAGGAAAACCTGGAACTCTATAAGAAGGTAAACCTCCTTCGACAAGAAAACACACAACTATACAAGAAGGTAGCCAGCTAAGTTATCCACTAATAAGGAATCACGAAATGTTCCACGAGAATTTGATTATGTTCACTCAGGCTGTAAAATATGACAACAAAAAGCTCACCTTGCTTAACTATGAGGCTTGATGTCTCAGGTTTATGGCACATCGGAAGTGGCAGCAGCAAGCAGAGATGCTTTCAATCCATATGGATTTCATACAGGCGAGGATCCACAAGAACAGATCCAACTGCAGCTAAGCCAGCCAGAGCAAGATACATATGAGACATCAGGCAGCGCCTCGAAATAGCGGTCAAAAGTTCTTCAGTTGGACATTTTGACACGCCATTGACACAGATATTATAAAATTGTAGCACATAACCGAATATGAAAAGATGAAGAGTCCTTCTGCATGATTCTTACTTGATTACTCAAAACAAGAATCAGTAGCAGAACAACTATGATTCTTAAGGTGGGAGGAGTTAGATAAAAGTTTATCAGCAAGTGACTGTATTCAAATCAGATATGCATGTAAAGTGAACTACGGGAAATTTTCAATAACAAAAGCATGGACATAAAATTTTCTGACTTTTCTATCTGATTATTCTTTAGAGATAATTAACAAAATGTTAGAGTTCTAAAAAAAAAAATAATAAAGTGCTGTTGCTCAAGTGAAAATTTGAATTTATGTACTGTACAAGATTCAGGAGCAGAAGTACCATTCCACGGCGCCTGGAACTGAGCATTTGTAGTGTTGACGTATAAGAGGAAAAAAAAGGAGAGAGGAATTGATACGCATCCAGCTTTACAGGTGAAGTCACCTGTTTTTGAAGCGTGACTGGGGAAATAGTTCTTCAAGAAAACAGAACAATGAAATGTCGAGTTAAGCAACACCACTGGTACTTCCCTTGTGCTATTGATTCTTTTTACTGTGATATTGTCATGTCATTCCAAGTCAAATTGTTCAAGTACAGCATGTGTGTATTGTGTCATTTCTAGCAAATATCTTCCAAGTTCCATTTGACACATTTAACCCACAATTGATTTGTGCATTGATGAAAAGCTAAAATAACACTCATATTACACGCAAAAGTTACTACAATAGCTTTGCAGAAATGTAATCTGTCAACTGCACATGACAAATTCATAAGCTCAAGCCATTGCAGTTAGCTCACCCATGATTTCAGATGTCCAGAAAAACTTCCCATAAATTGCATCAGAAAATTAAACAGATTCTAAATGCATTCAGGTTCATTAACGACATAATTAAGTGCATAAAAGGTCAAAGCATTAGCTACCCATCAGCAAAATATCTGTTTAGGAGGGAAATATCTGTATAGACAACATAAAAATACTCAGCACAAGCTTGATAAATTATATTTTACCTCCATGCCTGAAGAACTGCCTCAACTGGATGCAATTTATATGAAGGTAACACATATCTGCAAAAGCTTCTACTCATACGTCTATATTTATATGACAACTATTACTATCCTTCTTAATGCCTTGGCTAAACACGCCTACCATCACAGAGAGACCCCCCAAAATCCCATGATTTATACAGAACCTGGATACACAGCAGAGTACAAGTTCACACCATTGGTCACTGGAAAATTAGAGAGAGAGAGTGATAGGAAAGGCGGCAGCAGGAACACACAATGAAATGCAATCTAATGAAACGATCACATGCTAACAAAATTTTTTTATATATATAAAAAAAAAAAAAAGTGGACCAAACCCTTGTCCAGTGCCCGGCTATGTATCAAAGCAGATTTCTTTGAGACATCTGTTCAAAAAAAAAAAATCATGCGAGTAAAATCTCATTATAAGGCTTCCAATAATGAATTATCAATTATTGCAGCATAATTATTAATTAGAATGCACCAACATTTGAGGTTGACGGAACCGCATTAAAGTGATGCAACTGAGGGACGAACTGAGAAGAAGATGGAGAGACGAGGACATGAACAGGTGAAGAAGATCACATTCACGCCTACCTGAACAGTGACAACATTGACGCTCGAGAGGAGTTGGATGTGATTAAATATCTGACCCCCTAAAATAATTTTTAGAAACATTATATTAATCGAACCGAGAGGCCCGAGTGAAATTCGTAGCTCCACGTGGAAACCACGAAATCGATGCTAACGCTTTCCGCCAAATTGAACAATAAAAAAATACAAATAGATATAATTAAAAAAATATATAACTTTAGTCTCTGTTATTATAAATTCTTTTGTTTTTTTATATTCTAAATCCTTTCAAAAGCCTTACATTGACCACAAATATTAAAAAATAAAAATTTAAAATTTAAAATATTAAAAAACAGTGTAAAAATTAATAACAAAATACAAGTAAAATATAATAATCTAAAGTATGGAAGAAAAATGTATGGAAGAAAAACAATAATTATATACTTCATTTATTTTTAAATATAAGAAAAACTGTTATGTGTTTTTTTTTTATTTATAAATTCTAAGAAAAATTTATTCATTTTTTTAAAATTTCTGTTGATAAAATTAATGTTTAGTTTCATTAGAAAAATTTGTTTCATGAATTATAGAGATAATTTAATTCAATTTTTTTAATTTCAAACATAATTATTATATTTAATTAACTTTGTTAAACTATATGAATGAATTATTTTCTCTTATATTTGAAAATAGAGGGAGTATCTAAAAGACAAGCTGCATATATTATTTTTCTATTTTCGTCCTTTAGATCTCAATTTGATTATGGTTTTTCTTTCTTGACCAACACGATTATGGTTTTTCCTGAAAAGGTTAGTTTACAGGCAACGATAGTCCATGCCTTTTGCTTGCACTGTTTTAAGTCCTATACATAGATTACCTTTTAAAAAAAGTTAGTCTTTTTTATAAAGATAGATCATTAGGCAAAGAGTAAAAAGTTATGAGAGATTGGCAAAAAAAAATTATGATAGAAAAACTGTTTTTAAAAATAATGCATTCAATAAGAATAAACTAAAAAAATTAAATGATCTCAATAATTTAATTATATATCTCTTTTTAATTTGGATAAAACGATTCGAAATGATTTAAAAATAGCATGGAAGGAGAATTTATATCCTAAAAAAACTCCTCGTTAGTAGCATAGCCTGGGGTGACCGTTACTTCCTGAAAATTTGTTTGATTCATTACAAAATAATAAACAATAAGCATGTGATTTTATATAGACAAAGATATTTTACAATAAAATTATGGGAAAACTTATTTATTTAATCTTGTGTCTGTTTTCAATTAAATCAAAATATATGAATCATTTATATATTATTTACTTTATAACAAAATCTTGTTATTAATATTATAACAAACACATTAAATTCATTTGTTTTAATTGGATTGAATGAAATCAAAGTACATTAAGTATAGCTAAATACTTAAATCTTGTCCTAAAACTATATTATAATATCAATGGCTTTGTAACCTAGTGACGTATAAACTTTATTGTATGTGAGAGATCCGCATGTATATGTACATATTGTAATCAAAATATGAGACTTTGTTTCCATTTAGGACGGCTACTTTTTCAGGTGAAAAATTTTAGGCACTTTCAAATTTTATATACTTTTTTAAAAAATATTGTTAATATTAATTTGAAAAACAAACATATTTAAGATGTAAAATAAGGTCTTTCAATGCTGAAATAAAATTGGCCAAAAAAATCCTGAAATTTAAAAAAAAAACAGACATAATTTGTAAATTTAAATTTATGCTTTGTTAAACTCAAACATAGGTCCTTTTGCTTAAATATTCTGGTCTCTTTCTGGTGAAATTGATGAAACTGACAGCTGAACTTTAGTCTGCAAGAATGATCACGGTGAGTGATGACGACAGGTGGTTCAGGTTGGTCCACCAGCGACAACAGTTTATCATCTGACAATTTTGTTTTCGTTGGACAATAAAACAGAAATTACGACAACAATTACCGTCATTATATTTATCAATATAAAGTATAAATTTTATGAGCAAAATATATACAATAAAGGGGGAATCTCACTTGGTGCCTAAGAACACAAAAATCTACATTTAGAATTTAATAAAATTTGAAAACACATATTTTCCATTGTCTCAACAAAATATATATATATATATATATAAAATGATATTCACAAATCCTTAACACAATATTCATAAATGCATGACACATTTGATAAGCATAGTTTAACTTGAAGTGAAATATAATAATAAGCAAAGAATAAACAATACAATATTTATGAATGCATAATATGATATCCATCAATTATCAATACAATAAAAATATATAAATCTGTAACATTTGCACAATATAAAGTCCGTAATGAACAATATATTTTCATTGAAATAATATATTTCAAGCTAATATTCACTAAATGTGTTGTGCATTCATAAATATTATATTAAAAATTTGTAAATATCGTGTTATGTATACATGAACATTCTATTAATACAAAAGGCAAATGTATCTTTTTATTTACAATAAAATTTGCAAAAAAAGCATTCTAGCATGTAGTGTATTTTTAGATTCCATTGGATCGTAAATGCAAGTTTTGTGTTTTGGTGGCCCTAAATGGGATTCTACTTACAATAAACTCTTTTTAGGATCTGCATCGTTTTTAATTCTTTCAATATTTCTCAACATATTTTATTAGGTTGTTAATAAATATATTTGTATTTCTTTTACAATTATCCACATATTCAATTTTTATAAAGATGAGTGTAATCTTTAAAAGAAATTTAAGTCATACCTCTCCGAAAATAATCAAGTAATAATAATCCTGGTCCTTTTCAATATAATAAACAACTAAATCTAAATTTTCATTTTCACAAAAAACTAAATCTAAATTTATCTATCAAAACAATATTGGTCAGCCCCAAATGCACGAAGTCAATCACAGTAAGAAACATCACATGAAGTATTTCAAAGGGCGTACCTATGAGGAGGCAGTAATTTTATTATATCAAACTACAGAAAATAAATAATGAAAAATGCTATTTCAAAACTGAAAAAGTGTGTAATTATAATAGCGGCCATTTGGTACAAATTTGGTCAATAAACTGCAAAGGATCCAACGTCGACTGATCACTGATCGAGCGAGTGCAAGATGAAGAAACAGAGTCATAGAGATTGCTATTTGCTAGGGTTCGTGAATTGTGAATCGCGACTTTGTGTGGATTGTGGAGTGGCCGAGTGGGAGACAGAAACTGAACCTAAATGACTTTGATCTAAGTCTCTGAGAGCAATCGAGCGAGAGCCGAGAAGTGATGACTGACGAGTATGATCGGGCTGAGACTAATAATGGGCCAAGACTGATCTGAGCCTTTGTGTGGATTTAGTAATTTGGTAATTTTATAATGTCTAATCACTATGGCTGTTGCTAAAAAAAAGAAAGAAGAAGAATGGCACTGGAGGTCTGTGGCAGAGACTGATAATGGAATGGGCTGTCAATTGGGCTACGTTTTTTTCCCCACCCTCTTTCAATAAATATATGATATTAGTATTTTAAAAAATATAATCTTTAATAATATAAATCAATTATAATATTTATAAATATATTTGATTAATTTTGATTACTTCGGTTTATTTGGTTTCACAATCTTCAAACCGAACCGAACCATTCAAACCAAAATATTTTTTTTAAAAAACTGAACCGTCCTTTTAAACCAAATAAACCGAACCAAACAGATCAATCGCAATTTGGTTCAATTCGGTCTGTTTCGGTTCGGTTTTGCTCACTCCATTATGGAGTATACAGGTCATGATTCACCTCATGATCAAATAACTTAATCATACTTTTTAAATTAATTCTAAACAATTATAGTAGTAATTGTTACAAATGTTTTCTAATCACCTCTCAGTTAATTAATTCGTATTTAATCATATCTGAATTCATTGGTAAACCCACATTATCTAACCTAACCAAACCTTGGAGTTGCAATACCAGTCATACAAGTAGTTCAGAATTGAAACACAGAATCCAACAGTGAGTGTGAATGAAGCTATACAAGGTGTTGCACATGGCGAGCGTTACATGAAAGAAGCTGAGCTGGCTGGGAACATATGTTCAACAATCAACATCTAAATATACCCTACAATGTGCTGACAAAAATTCCTTCATGGCCTGCTTGGACCATTAAAGCTAATGCCTATTATATAGACCTGCCTTGGTTCTGTCACATGAACTCCAAAACCACGGTCTCAAAATATTCTACTTTATACATGCTGCTTTTTTAATTATGATATCTGCCCATCAAATTAACTCGATTTATATTAAACAATGACTGCGGCCTTACTCCAAATTTTCCACTATATAAACAAATTATGAGTTTAAGCAATAGAATTTGGCATTTCGGTCTTTGGATCAATCAGATATGATAATCACCGTCCTTTTTCTTGGGGAAAAAAAAATACTTACATCCAAGGCAAATCTTAAAAAAAAAAAAAACCTTTTACTCATATTGCGATGCTGAGTGCATGAGCATGATCTGGACTGGAGCAATTTTCCTTGTACGTGGTGAATTGTGACCGATTTAGCTTTGTTTATGTTTCTCGGATGGCTGAATACGCTTGGATGACGAGATTTTCACCGTCGCTCGGGACTTGTTATAGTATTGTTATTCCGTATTTACCCTGTTCGGTTTTCATTATTCTCACGATATCTCATATTAGAAATATCGAAAAGGGAAAACGCCATCGTCAAATTCAAACGTCCTTTTTTTTTCTTTTTACATTTTCTAGAGTTTGAATTTGTTATCGTTAAATTGCTTAATAAAAAAATTATTATACGCAAATATCTGAAAAAGAACTGTAAAAAAACTCCAATCCCCATATAATTTTATTTTATTTGTTCTTTTCACATCTCTTTTTGCTCACCCAAAAGTAGCGCGGCCTTGCCTTAGAAAGTGAGGCCCTAGAAAGTGCGCTTTCACTGTTCGCATCTACCTCTGCATCTGCTTGCTTTCAGATAAAGCCTAGTTGCTTTTACCCGCACAAACGAGAGAAATTGCTTGCACGATAGAATAATAAATCCTAAATAAATGTGGAGTAAATAAATAAATTATCCCCAATTTTAAGTCAAATAATGCTATAAATTTTAAATTTATTTATTATATAAGTTATGCCATAATTTTTAAAAATAATTCAATCTAACTTCTACCATAAATTAAATTTAATCATTAATTAATAAAAATAATTAAATTTTTTTTTGTCCTTTTCTCTAATGTGTTGAGTCTTTTTTTCTAATTTTTATGTTTTTTATTGTATTTCTTTTATAATTTTTAAAGTTTTTTATATATAGTCACTTAATAGTTGACATTAACTTTTATTAGTAGCAAGAGTCAAATTGCACTATCTTTAAAAGTTGATAAAATAATTTGCATAATAAATGAGCTTAAAATCTACAGTACTATTAAACTTCAAGCTCATGAAGTAACTTGCTCATTTACCTATAAATATATGATCAATCACATATAGTAATAAACCTATTTAAGAAAATTTATTGTCAAAATTTAAACATAAAAAAATTATCCTCTCACAAACTCAAAATTTAAGAAAAATCTTTGTATGTAATTTAGTCAAAAAATAATGATAAGAAGAACAATAATAAAAGGCATGTCAAGTGCTCAACCACTATAGCACGTTGGTTGTATCTGAAACATGTTGAAGATACCCCACAGCCAGAGGCCACATGAAAATGAGATGTGAGAAAAGCTAAACACACTAAGCATGTTTCATCAATTTGGGACATCGTTTCAATAATCGCACAATATTCACACTTCCATTCACTTGGCTAGAAAGGAAACCAGAGTATCATTCCACTCAACACGCAGCATCAAATATTATTCACCAGGAAATTGCAGTTTGAGACCTTCGTTAACTCCGTGTGTGCGCGTGTTGAGCGAGAGAGACACGATTTGCTTCACTTCTACCGCCATTCTTCGTCGTTAATGGTAATTAATCACAATAATAGAAATAGTACCCAATCCTTTTCATCGGAGCATCTCCTTTTCTCCTTTCAGGGAAAGTGGAATTTCAAACTCAGGATAATGTAGACCTGACCTGCAGGGTAAGACTAAGGGCACTATGTGATGTGACTTGGATAAACAGCCTATTCATGCTTTCCTGTAGATTCCGACTGATCCAGTACTGGACCAGAACTGCACAATACACAGAACAGAGGCAACAAAATCAAACAGAGTGGCGGTAATTAATCCCACAGATCAGCAACTTAAAAGAAACTTGACTAGATTACTTTATGTTGAATCTCGAAGGTGTTAATTAATGGAACCTACCTAAGATCGTGGAAGAGTAGGGGGAGGGGCCGGGGATCGTGAAGGTGGCTACCGTCGTCGAAATTCTGGGAGTAGCTAACAGGATCGTATTGAAACGATAACGATTTAGATCCGCACGTGATTTTGCCTTCCCTCATGAACCTTTTAAGGAGATTTCTCCATCGTCCTCCTCCTTTCTTGCTATGATTGGAAGGCTGGTTGTTGTTGGTGTCGTGCTCGTCGACGCAGCAATGGATGCGTGAGTAGTGAAATTCGTCATGGACGGCGAAGCACGACGACGACGACGGAGACACGGTCAACGTCATGCAGCCGCCGGAGAAGTATGAGGATCGGTGAACTGTGAGATCCTTTTCCATTAAATGGAAGGTAGATCGATGGATTGAGAGAAGCGAGTGTGCTTCTTTCTCTGTAAGAGTTAAGATTCTGACTGACTTTTCGTGGCAGCGATTTAAATGAGGATTTACATGTTACCATTTATAACGGGATAGCGCACTGTAAAACAGTGATCGTTTTTTCACTCTCCGAGATCCATGCTCCTTTGAGTAACGTTGCTAGCTTTTTAATTTTAATATCTGAGTTTTTATTATTTTATACAAGAAATCAAACACAAGATTATAATTAAGATTATTATAGATATTATTTAAATACTTAAGATATACTTAAGGACATTTTACATCAGAACTTTCTCTTCTTTTATTTATATCGATCCTTTTGCTATATACGCTAACGTGCATCAGATGCCGGGCAGTTCTGTAACTTTCTTTGTCAATGCGCGATATCGGGACTCAGGAGTAAAGATGCACTTTTTTAGTGATAAGCCTCACCAGAACACCAGGGATGAAGCCAGAAATTCTTATATGGGGGGCCATAACTGAAATTTTATTTAAAAGTTGGGGCTAAAAGTTATTTTTAGCCTTTATCATCAACACTGCTACCTATTTGCAGAGAAATTTTTGAAATATGGGGGGCCACAGCCCCTGCACGGCCCTTGGATTCGCCACAGAATAACACATATGGTCTATGTTTTTTAAATAATAGAAATAATAAACGATTAAATAAAGATGATATACCTCAATACGTACACGGTTGTGATCTAATGTTACAAATTTTTCACTCTTACGTATTTGTCTTACTGGGCTAATGGGGTTTCAAATATTATAATTAGGTCTTAAACACACTCTGCCTTACGCCCAATTAATACGATGTGAACATAGTTAGGTCTTAAGACAAATTCACTTAATATTTAATGTACTTTACAGAATTTATAACAATTAGTATGGCAAAGCAAGAATCTTGGGCCAAAAAGGGCGAAATCATTTACATATTCATAATTTAAAAAAATAGTAAAATTATTTAATAATTACATGCTTTATAAATTTTCTCTACGTGATTTCATGTTTTTGAATCATTAAACAATCAGCTCATTGTCAATGCTTTTAAATATATCTTTTTCAATATAAGTCATGAGATAATCATTCATCCATGAATTCCCATTCAATTGTATAATCAAATTTTTACAAACTTTATAACATAAAAACTCTTTCAACTGTTGCTGTGACAATAGATAACACCATTGTTAATTTTAAGAGAAGGTAAACTAATGAATAAATAATGTGTCTTTCAATTTCAACTAATTTCTTCACAAATTTGTTTTGAGATTTCAAACAATGTGGGCGAGATTATTTTTTTCTTATTTTCTTAGAGGTTTAATGAATGTTAATTTTTTATAAAATAATATTACTATTTAGATATATTGAAATTGTGGGCTAAAATTTATTGAGCTTTTGAGTTAAAAAAATTAATTTTAGATCTAAGTTAAAAAATAATATGAAATGGTTTAAAATGCAAACAATAAAAAAGAAGGGTGCAAAATATAAATACTTATACCTTCATTTTTATGTAAGTAATTTTTCTCATTTGAGGGGAGGCATAAATATATGTGGCTTCACCACTTATTAGTAACATTTACTGATGATAAATAATATAGCTTATTTTTTTACGCTCCTTTTTCTGGCCAATGAGTTTATTTAATTTCTTTTTAGATTCTAAGCAATGTAGAAGATAAAATATATCCATTTAGAGATAAAGGAAAATATAACTATAGATCCCTATCCTTATAATTTTATCAAATTTTATTTAATAATTTGCTATTATTTAAAAATAATCTTCAAGTATTTATAACAAAAATCAAGCATCATATTTATGGTTCTTTCCATAAATAAGTACTTATGATATTTTTTTTATTATAAGAAAAGCGGCCTCCTACATAAACATAAACAAAATATAAAACGAAATAGCCAACCAACAACAAAAAATAATATAATAAATGTTTCTATTAAGATTATTATTCAAATACAATAAAATTCCTATAACTTTAGCCTTAAACCCTAAAAAATATATACTCAACTAATTTATAAACTAAGTTTTCAAAATTAAATGGCCTAAGACATAAAAATTGGCCAAAAAAATGCACTCCTCTGATCCTATTTGTCAATCACTTCCAACATATTTTACTAGTATTAAGAAAAACCTTAAATTCATTAACTCTATATTAAAATTTAATAAATTTTTAACTTTACCCCTATTAAATATATACACTTTAATAACATATTTTCTCTCTCCAACGCTCAATGGAGGGTAAAAAAAATTTATGATAAAAATTTAATGATGTGACTTATAAAGAGAATAAAAAAATTCTTCTCTCTTTACCCCATAAATAAGACCAGAGGGAGTAATGTATAAAATGCATACACCTATAGGTAATTAAAGGCTAATTAGGAGTTCAATAAAGTTAACGTGAGTTAGAAAGCTAATGAACCTTATGGGGACTCTTGTATATGAGAGGATTGAGTTTTGAGAGTTGAAACTATTGATTTAGATATTAAAAATTATTCTAGAAAGGTTAATAATGATTAATATTGTGATTACTGGTAGAATGATCATATTTGACACCATTCAAGCTTTATAAAGCTTTAGAAGTATCAAATTGATAGGTAAACTTTTGAGCTCTCAGATGTTTGAGGTAATCGAGAGAAAATCTTTCTTGTGCTTTTGTTTGTTAATTGATTTACTGATTTATATATTATAATTGAAATATGTGAAATCCTTTGAAATGCAAGTGTGACATATAAAACTTTAATCTCCCAATTATAATAAGAGGAATTTTTGGAAACAAAATGATTGTGTGGAGTTTTATGATATAATTGTACAAAGTTCTATGATATGATTGTGTGGAGTTCTGTGACTTGTTTATATGTGTTATGTGATGTCCATTTGTGACTTGAGTATAATGATAATAGTATACATGCCTGTATAATGAGTATTTGCATGCTAAAAATGCATTGCATGATCATGAGAGGCAAAAGTTCTCCTAGGAGGAGGAGTAGTAAGTTTTAAAATTCACGTGATAAGCCTACAATTGGAGCTTGATGGTTTACTTGGACTTATTTATATTTATTGTCTCACTTGTTCAATAAGGGACTATCCCATTGTGTAACAAGGGACTTAAACCTACTTTAGTTTTCATTATTTGATGAGGAAGCTAGTTTAGGAAGAATGACACCCCACTATGTGAGATTAGGGGAAACTATGACCCACAAGTTGTAGTATCTGCTTTGACATTACCAAAATAACACTCTTACATGCCGTTGTGATAACTAAGAATAGTTAAATTCCAAGAAGGAGTTATCACAACCCAAGAATTTAAAATATAATTAGTTAAAATAATGAAATTCCAAGAAAACCCTTTTTAAAATAGTGTTTGAGCTCAAACCATGGTTAAAAATCAATTAAGAGCAAATACAAAAGTATGAAAATCAAACCACATCAAATTAGGCTAAAACAAGCCACTTGTTTTTTTAAAAAAATTAGCACGCTCGCCATGGTGGATGTCACAGAGGGATGAGTCCTTTGAAGGCCACTTGCACCACGGCCCAACTACCATGCGCCGTGGCGCACACCTACTATCATGATAGCAGATTGCTATCATGATAGCTTTCCGAACTTTCAGAGCACGCTGTTTCACCATCCGATGTCTGATTTGGGTGATTCAAGTATCTGCATGAAGCTCCTCCAGCCTTCTAGCTAATGGCATTAGTCTCACATTCAAAGAATAATCCATTTAAAATATAGACATCTAAACCTAAAATGAGTCGTTTTCACCTCAAAACACACATAAAGGTGTCCAACTCATAATGTCAAATGTCATTAGCTCCAGAGACACTTTGACCACCTCAAATAGACCACATACAATATGACAATTCATTCATATCACACAAATAAGCAATCACACTCAAAATGACCACCAAACCCTTATCTGATAATAACACAAAAGGGTGGATTGAATTTAGTTCACATATCAACTTATTTATTTTAGGCATATAATTCACTTCAAATTCATCACTTGTAATTGTAACTTGGTCCAACAGACACACACATAAGCCACCACATTAACCTTCGACCAAAATACGCACACTTATCACAAATCCATACAAGTGATATCCAAAATAATGTCATGTTCTTAAGTTAGTATTATATATTAACAATATTCGTTACAATACCCAAAAAGAGGAAGGGGAAGAGCTATACAATTATACTTTTCACTCTTTAATTGTCCCTTCCTTTTCCTTGCCCCTATCGGAGCTCTCATCTATAAAATATAACCACGGGGTGAGATAAACATCTCAGTAATAGAATAATTCACTACTATTAATTAACATGCATAACCATAAGAGAGTAAAACTATCAAACACCAAAATATACTTTTAACATGTCACCTCATACTCTTTTCATCAATATAAATCTTTTACCACTAGCATGATTATTCTACCATCTGAGCCTCTATATCACCTTGACTGAAACCATAAGCTCTTGAACCAAGTGCATGTTCACAATAGTCCGAGCTCACCTTCAGTAGTAGGATCACCCGGCCAAAGGTGTCTTATTCCACTTCCAAACTATGATCTCCCCCTATCACATACAAATCAGGGTGTCGTTACTCTAACACTATATCATTAATGCTAAGGAACATCACTCTCTAATACTGTATCCTATATAGATGCTAAGAAAAAAATCTCTAACACCGTGCCTTATTAGACACTAAGGAGATATATGCCATATGGACTTTCATTACTCCTTGCTACAAGTGAACTCTCACCCCCTAACATGATCATGCTCACACTCATTGTATACAACACATATACACTTCAAATTTTCTCGATTAGATCATATAAAACTTTTATCATTCTCATCATTCACAAGTAGTTTTTCATGCATAAAACCAAATTTCATAATATGCAAGGTTATCAAATCTCAAGTTCAAATCAACATATCTACTCATAAATAGTTAAGCAATATAATTAATCAGTGTAAATTATTCCATTGCCTCAACCCTTTGTTACACAAAAAGGTTGACATAGCTCAACATTAGCTCCACATGT